CCTCCCCCCCCACCCGGGGCTCGGTTGTCCGGCAAGTGACGGGGCTGCTCGCCGTGACGTTGAAAGGCAGAGGCGCCCGGCCCGCCGCTTCCCTGTGACTGCCCCGCTCCCCATTCATTCCTCTCTCGCGCCTCGGAAGCGCCCAGGAGTCCTGTGGCACCCGCAAGGCGAACGCGGCCATTCCGGCCAAACGAACGCCTTAGGTTCGGGGATGCTGCAAAAACCTGCCGGTGCCGTTGTAGCTGTCGAGAATCAGAGCCCCTTTGTCCGTTTCAGACGAGTTTGCGCCCGTCGAGCGCCGTCGGTTTGTCCCTATACTGTATAATCCCGCCAAGACGGGGAAGGAGCCGGCCGAGCTCTTGAGGCTGACTGGCTACGAAGAGGTTAACTGTTGCCGAGGGACGAGCGCGCTGGTTTCCGGAGATAAATGGGCAGGAAGCGAAGTGCTTCCCCTGCTCCGGCCAGCGGCTCCCAAATGCTTTTTGCACCTGCTACTCTGCATTTTTCCAGTCGGTGGCTGCCATTCGCCCTCCCCCCTCCCCCTCCCCCTGCTTCCAGGCAGGCTGGATAAGAAACCCTCTCCCCGGGCCTCGAACACCAGAGCTTGTTTTCTTTTTCTGCCTGTCCTCCGTCCGTCTGTTCAGCCTCTGTATGTGTAAAATTGTGCTTCTTGCTGTCGCCGCTCAGATCCTAAACTCCCAAGCGTCCCATCCTGTGCGATGCAGGTCTGAGGAGCCTCGGGATCCGCGCAGCGCCGGAAGGGTTAAAGATGATGTAAGTAACGAAGTATTTCCAAGCCGGTTTATGAAGCGGTTTCTTTCGGGAGGAGGGTGCGGAGCCTTCACCGCTGACACTTCCTGGGCAGAGCGGGAAAAGGCAGGCGACAGCGGGAGTTAGAACCGGGGGGCCCTCCAATAACACAGAACAACCGCACAAGCATAAACAGAATCAACACAACTACAATATATGTATATTATGTGCGGCAGACTCCCAGGGAAACAAATTCCATAGATAATTGTTAGAAGCATAACCCCACCCCCAATACATATATACAGTATTCACATATGCATCCATACATGTATATAGAGGATTAAGGCACCCTTTCAGGTACCTTGAAGGCAGGGAGGAAAGACACCAAAACCTATCTTATGGCAAATCCACTGTACAGTATGTTCCAGTCTTCCCATGTGTTTGACACATGTCCAGCAGCGCCTTCCAAGCTTTTCCCACTCTGCCCCTGTTCCTCGATTTTTTGCTCCTATGACACCTCATTCTGGGACAGGCAGTGCCTCTCTGCTCCACATAGAGTTACTTAAAAGTAAGTCTGCCGATGTTTGGTGGGGCTTACTCCCAGGTAAGTGGGCAGAGGATAGCACAGACTGCCTGTCCTGGCCATACCCAACTCCTTGGAATCTGTTTTCTCAAATAACCGTGTGACATTCTAAGAACTTGATCCCACTTTAGTTTTAAACCTATTATTCAGTACCCTTTAAAGTTATGGAGCTGAAACTAATGGAAGTGATTTTCACTTAAACCTAGAGACAGAAGGAGTCCTTGCCATTTGATTTCCTTCAAGTCAAGGAAGCTGTTGGTGAATACAACAGGCTAATAATAGAGTGAATGTTGCCAGATGTTCATTTCCTTGTCTAGATTATTTAGAACAAGTACCATTCAATAAGTATAGTCTGTTGATGAGGTGTGAAGAGGAAACTTAAGGGGAACTGTTGTTTAGCTCTGCCTGGTTGTTGCTGTGTGCCTTTTCTTGCTTTCTCAGTGTTCCTAAAGAAACACACAAATGGTTTTTGCCCAGGCTGAAACTCTAAGCCTCATTGTATTCAATGGGATTTCACTGTATTTAACAGGACCTCACTAGTCCGTTGGCAATCAAGTCGAGAGGATTCATGTAGTATATGACTGAGTTTGAGCCAGAGCTCTTTTTCTTGGACTACAACCTCTTGACTCCTTCAGCCAGTCTTCAAGCTCTACTTTTAGCACACTAATATTTATGTTGATTATAACAGTTCGCAGTGCTTTTGGCCATGTGCTGAGCACTAGGGTTAGAACAGGGACAGGGAAACTGTCTTCCTCCAGATGTGACTGAACGGATTCCCATCATGCTTGACCCGTGCTATGAGTCATGGAAGCTGAAGTCCAACAATATTTGGAGAGCCACAGATTCCTAACCAGTGGGGTAGAACACAAAAGTATCCTGTTTCAGGTCAAGAAAAGCTGAGCTAATTCTGTGGCTTCTTTGTAGTGTGCTGTTTTGTTGATTTTTTAACAGACACAATCTATTTCTATGCCTATACCTCAATACTTCAAAAATCAGACTGCTAAATTTTGGCCATGGAAGGGGATCAATCTATGAAAGTTTATTCATTCAAACCCTTTTAGGGATGGGGGGGTGAATATTTAATTTATGGGTGTGATGGGGCATCAGCATTTTTAAAGCCAATTAATGTTTTCTCCCACTGGCATTTATATCATTGTAAAAGATGCAAATAGAAAGTATCAGACTTGATTTTCTCAGTCTTTACAGATGAACAATAAAGCCATTTTGTGTATGTGTGAAATGCAGCTTCTTTTAATGAAAGTCGCAACATTTCATGACCCAAATGTTTACAGTAACTCAAGAATGCCCTCTACAGCATGAGGGTTGTCATGTAACAGAGGGAGAACAAGAGAGGCTCCAATCCTGCAGGTTGTTTAACCTCAATTTCCCATTCAGTTGTGGGCTTTATAGCATATATTTATGGTAATGCATTACATGTATTGAGGGGGGGAAATGCCCATATGTATGACAGACTTATCCCACCTTCTTTTATTGGCGGCTAAGTAAAAAGGGAAGGTTATTTCCAGCTTTCAAATATCTCTTACACTGAACTCTTGACCTACAGTAGATCTTGCAAAAGATGCCCTCTTCCCATCATTTACTGAGTGACTTTTAAAAGGGCTCAGTTCTCAATTCTTTAGCATTAAATAATCATTCCAAAGCAGGTGGAGTTGTCCAACAACATGTGACCTGAGTGTTGGGGAAAGCTTAGCTCTTTACAGTAAACAGAATTACTCAGGATGCATATAGACTTCACTGTTAGTAGGTTTCTGACCAGACAGCCATGTTTATATCTTGGCTAATTTGCAATCAGTGCCTATAACCGTAAGTCCTTTAGCATTCACGGGGAATGCCAGATAAGTGGATGTAAGATTTCAGCCCTGGGTTCACTTTGTAAAAGTTCATGCATTCAAATTACCATTTGGTGCTAACTCATGACTTGGGCAATATAATATGTAAACAGCAACTACAGACAAAACGGATGGCATGAACTGAGCCTTGTCTTATTGTCTATAACGTAATGCTCAAATAATGTCTTCAATCTTCATCAAAGTAAATCACCTATAGCAGTGGTTCTTAACCTTTGTTACTCGGATGCTTTTGAACTGCCACTCCCAGAAACCGCAGTCAGGACAGCTGGTGGTGAAGGCTTCTGGGAGTTGCAGTCCAAAACTTCTGAGTAACCCAAGGTTAAGAACCAGTGACCTATAGGATTGCAGCTCTACTTCAAATAAGGTTCCATAACCTCACTGGAACGTACTTTCAGACTGTGTGTTTATCAAGGCTGGGAGCTGCTGTCATTGAACTTAATGAGGCAAATTTCAGAACAAATAGGCTTAAATTTATGCTCTACATGCAAGTATAGTTCAGACAGTCTACAACCAGGAAGTCTTTGTCACTTAAGCTACCATTAATTTCCCCTCTTACCAATTTAGTATAAATCAGACTGGGAAAGTTAATTTTGAGCTAAAATTCCCAGAACACATCCAGGCTAGGGTACTCTTGGAGTTGCAATCAAAAGTAGAATTTTTAAACTTAATCCTGAAGTAAACACATGCTCCAGTGGCTTAATCCCATTATTTGTGTGGAACACTGATTTTTCCTGGCCTTCTTTCATATCTCTTTGTAGTGACCTACCATAGCAAGATCAATTTTCTTAAAAAAAAAAAAAGAGGGTACTGCAGAGGTGCTTCCCTTACAAACATCCCTTCAAACCTTTTTTTTAATGAGTTACTTTATAATTTGGGTATCCCAGTGATAATACAGCACCTCATTTTCGTTAGAAGAAAGAGGAAAGAAAGGGGTAATAAAAGCTCTGCCTGACTCCTCCATAGAGAAGTGTATGCAAGCTGATGAAAAGGAAAGTGCATTCAAGTGTTTAAAAAAATCGGTGTAGATTAGACTTCACTCTAAGACAACTGATAAGAAAAGAGGAAGGATATGTGTATTCCACCCTCATTTTCCATAATATGATTATCGATGTCCCTGGCAGTTTAGCTATTGGTGAGAAAAAGTAGTAGTCGAAAAAAAATGAGAATCCAACGCTATTACTATGCAAACCTCAATCCCTCAGAGCCTTCCTGCTGCCAGCAAAGCGACCGTTCTACAGATGTCCAGTCATGGTTTCAGTTTAAGTCCTGTTACGGTCTAACTTTACAATATGGACTCGCAGCAAGCAAGCGGTTGTGTTTACATACACTGAACTGGAAGGTGGCTAATGACAGGTTCCTCCCAGTAATGTGGACTTTTAGTTGCTCCTTGTCATTGATTAAATGAGGGTAGCTAACATTAGGGGTGGAATATACGCTTCTAAAACTAGCCCACATTTAATAACTTCTAGAGAGGACCAATTTGAGGACGCAGCAATTCCATTTATGAGCAAAAAAAAAAAAAAAAAAAGCGCAGCTCGGTCTTAGTTGTATTTCCTTGAGCAGTGCGGGGCACCCCGTCCCCCGCTCCCATCCGCGGGGCTGGGACCGCAGCGCTATCTTTAAAGGATGCTTAAGGAATTCCTGCGTCCCTCTCGAACCCCGCGCCTCCGCACCGCCCAGCAAAGTTACAGGAAAGTCGCTCGAGGCGGACTAGGTCCTTAAAGGGAGCGCGCGCGAACTTCTCGCGGCTAATCACAGCGCCCCCAAGCTTGCCTCGGCGTTCCAGTTTGGAACGTAGGCTTCGCCAGCGTTCTAAAGCCGAACGCCTGGGCCGGGCCGGCCGCCGACGCCATTGGCCGCGGCGAGAGACAGAGGAGCTCACAGTTCCCTCACGTGACCGCCGAAACATCCGTTTGGGGGCCGTCGAGCTTGCTCGCTCGCTGACTCTCCGGTGGGAGAAGCCTTAGGCGGAGGTTTTTTTTTTTGGTAGGGGAAGGTGGCACGCGGTGGCGGGTGCGGGATTGAGGATCGCAGAGCCGTCAACAGAGTGAGGGGGGTGCTGGGCAGAGGAAGGGCGCCCTGGGTGCGGAAGAGTTTTCCCTCCCTTTCTTTTTTCCTTAGAAACCCGAACAAAATGTTAGTTCACGGTACAAGGCAAAAAAGCAAAGGGGGAAAAAAAGCAAGCAAGCAACCCAAAGCAAGCAAACCCCCGTCGGGCCCTTTTCCAGCGTTGTTTTAAAGTAACTTGGCAAACAAACCCCACCCATTGTCCGACTGTAAACACCTCCGCGGCAGCCGAAGCAGCCACGGGGTTCCTTGGAGAATCGGC